GCCTGGCGCAATATGGTTCATGGGGTCACGAAGAGTCGGACACGACTTAACGACTAAACAACAACAACAAACTTTCTGACACAGAAGTAGAAGGAATCTTCAGAGTTGCTTTTCTAAATTGCATCAGGTGATGAATATTTTTAACTCCCCAAACAGATATTATTCATCTCAGTTGAGATATACATCTTGAAAAGCTTGGAGGTGAGAAAAAAATGATGGAAGAGTGAAGGAATAATTTAATTTTTAATCACAGCCTCCAATTCAGTGGCGGAATTTTATCTAATTATTGTTGGACTCTAACTTCCATTAATTGAGATTACCATGGTCAATGTAATTTGATAACATCTAGTGGAGTAGTCATTTATTCATGACTTACTTGAAATTAGAAAACTGCTTAGGCCAGCCTTCCCAAACCTGATGCTCTCCAGATTATAGAACTTTAAGACCTAGAAATTTCAGGTTGGCAAATTCAAGTTTAGACTTTGCTGTATTTGGTACATTCTTCATGCAATGCTATGGAAGAAATGTTAGGGAATAATTATAAAAAAAGGTAATTTATGTACCTGGTCAAGCTTCCAGTGAAATTCTGCAGGACGGAAAGTATCAGCTTGGTCAAAATCTTTCCGTAACAAAAACACTAGGCGACAGTTATGCACATAAAGTGCATAGTGGTGTCGATTCATTTCTAAAAAAAAAAAAAATAGACAAAGATGAGAAATATATCAATGAGTGATAATTTATTAAAATCAGATTATACAATCAATTTATTTGAAACTGAATGTTCCCAAATCAATCCATGATTCAGTGTAAGAAAGACTTTGAGGTTAATTCTTATAGCAGTTTATGTTATTTTTTCAATGTCTACTTGTACTGAACACTTAAATCTGGGAGAAGGATGAAGGAAGTGCAGATTTTGAGTTACCTGTCTTATCAGAATTGCACAGAATTGTTTCTTTTTCTGCTCTTAATCCTGGACTTGGGCCATGTTTCATCCACATGGTGATGGTAAACTGATCAGTTAGATTCTTTGGTACTATTCCATCAGGAATTTTGGCACCTTGCTTTCCATCAAATTTAAAAATCATGTCATTGCTGTCCATCAGAAGACCAGCTGTCCAGTTATTTGCTGCACTGTGTGTTGGTAACAGGTCAATGGCCCCTGATGATGCCCCTGTAGATGATATATAATGAACAGTTTGATGAGTTACTAGTGAGAAAGTTGTTATTTGAATTTACTATATGAAAGTCAGAATCACACTTCATTGTCTCATGTTAATGATAACAGACATTTTTTGCATTAAATCTTCCCAGGCTTAATTCCTGTCCATTAAAAAGATATCAATGGCAGCAGCAGGCTTTGTAGAAAGCCACTGCTTGGTCAGAATGCCCAAGAGGCTAAGCTAGATAGACCAATAGCCACATTTTTATTTATTTATATTTGAATTTGTAGAAAGAACTTCAGTCTATATCATCATGGTATTCATGTTCTTAATATGTGGACTATGGTTATTTGTCAACCTACCATTTCAGCAGCCCTTCAGGCCAAGAAAAAGGCCTATGCAGACTGGCAGAATGATCCATCATCTGTCTCAAAGAAAGACAACTTTAAGCACCTGCAGTCCAAAGTACAGATGGAACTGTGAGAAATGCAGGACAAGTGGTGGCAGAGAAAGGCTGAGCAGGTGGAACACTATGCAGGCATGCATGCCACCAGAGAGTTTTTCAGAACCATAAAGTCAGTTTATGGTCCTTCTAAATCAGGATGCCCCCCCTCCCCCCT